GAGAAATTTCGAGATTAAAAAGAGTAACGGCAGTTCAGCAACCTAGAGACAGCCGTGGGTAAGCCAGCCCGTACCCGACGAAGACACGAGGAGTTCATAAATAATCGAAACGTTAGAACACACGCCAGTGGTTTCCGCATGAAACATTGATCGGGCAATGCGGACATTACAGGTCATAATGAAATAAGTGGGTAGTGAATTACTTTTAGTTTTATCCGCCCCGGCCTCGGTTAACGATATTTTGATAACTCTCCCGGATTAATCTCGTGGCTCGAAAAAGGACTACTAAAAAAAGGAGATTTAAAAAAAATAAAGAGTAAACATTTTTTAATCCTAAGAAATTTTGAATAATTGTAGAATATCCTTAAAGGTAATTACGCTGAAAAAAATTGTTAACTTGACTAAACCTTTCAATTAAATGACTATTTTGTTAAATCAATATATGATATATTAGTATTTACGTCAAATATATGTTTTAATATATTATATTTAATTTAAATATTGTTATAGGTTCAATTAATAAAAAAAAATAGAGTAAAACATTTTTTAATCCTAACAAAAAATTTTGAATAATTATAGAATATCCTTAAAGGTAATTACGCTGAAAAAAATTGTTAACTTGACTAAACCTTTCAATTAAATGACTATTTTGTTAAATCAATATATATTAGTATTTACGTCAAATATATGTTTTAATATATTATATTTAATTTAAATATTTTATAGGTTCAATTAACAAAAAAAAAATAGAGTAAAACATTTTTTAATCCTAACAAAAAATTTTGAATAATTATAGAATATCCTTAAAGGTAATTACGCTGAAAAAGTTGTTAACTTGACTAAACCTTTCAATTAAATTCCCTATTTTGTTAAATCAATATATATTAGTATTTACGTCAAATATATGTTTTAATATATTATATTTAATTTAAATATTGTTATAGGTTCAATTAATAAAAAAAATAGAGTAAAACATTTTTTTAATCCTAACAAAAATTTTGAATAATTATAGAATATCCTTAAAGGTAATTACGCTGAAAAAAATTGTTAACTTGACTAAACCTTTCAACTAAATGACTATTTTGTTAAATCAATATATATTAGTATTTAAATCAAATATACGTTTTGTTAAATTTAATATGTTATATTTAATTTAAATATTTTTATAGGTTCAATTAACAAAATAATATTTAATTGAAAGGTTTAGCCAAGGTAACAAATTTTTTTTCAGTGTAGACTTCTTTTTATTTTGATCTCTGCAAATATATGTGTGTATTAATAAAATTTTGCGATTTTGAAAATTATTAGCAATAGTAGTATAACAATATATTAATGAATAATGTATTACTCAATGTTAGACGATATCACGTGAATATTAAAAATCAATATTATGTATATTTTCACCGGAAAACGTGGGTGTCGCGCAGAGATCTGTATGAATGAGATGAATATTCTTAAACATTCGATATTTCTATTGTGGGAAAAATTCATTAAGCTTTTTTACTAATTTTTTTCCTTAACCACAATATTCTTTATTTATACTCCTAAATAATAAATTAAACGGTAAAATTTATTTTAAATTTAAAAATTACTTTATTCAATTAAGAGATCACGCAGCATTAATATCAAATTAGCGCCAATGAGAAACTAATAGAAATAGCAAATGTATCCATTTAATTTTATGTATAAAAGGTATATAATATCGCATTAAAATCGTTGTGAAAGAATAAAATACTAATTACAGTGCAATTTTAAATATCAATCTTTGTTTTTAAACACTAACATTTTTCATAATTATTATATAAAAAATTTATATCATTTTCTCATATTTATATTACTACAAATTAATATGATAATAAAATCACATTATGTAATCTCTTTATCTCTTATGTAAGACCATATTAATGTCAGATAAAATAATTCAAGACAATTACACATTTCCTATTAATATTGAGAGATTTAAATTTCGTTCGTAGGTTGAAAAAAATGCCTTCACGTTGAAATGGTTTCAAAGGCCTGCTATAAGTTATATGCAGCTTATAACCGCGATATTCTTCGAACATAGAACGAACCTAGTAACATGTCGCACAAGTGACAGATGTAGTTGATGCAGAATGTCCCATATAATATCGATCACCACGGTGTACAGGCAAGTCTAAGTGATATGAGGCTATGAATGTAATGTATAGCTTTCATTAAGATATCCTCTTAGAGGAGAGTCGTCTTGATCAATAAGGAAAAGTGTAGGTGATAACAAATTGACCGCAGCCGCAGTAAGCTGACAACAATCGATACCAAGTTACGCAAATTCAAATTAGTTTGCATTAATAGAAATTTATTGTCAACAATTAATTCACCGCAAACTGAACAAAAATTTGTCAACTTTAATAAACTAAACCTTTCAACTAAATATTATTTTAAATATATATAAATTTTATATATGTATTATTTTTATATGTTCAATTAACAAAATAATATTTATATATATAAATTACATATAAATATTATTTTGTTAATTACATATAAAAATATTTAAATTAAATATAACATTAAATCTAACAAAACGTGTATATATAATTGACTTAAATACTAATATATGTTTAATTAGCAAAATAGTAATTTAGTTTAAAGCTTTAGTCGAGTCAACAAATTTTTTTCAGTGCACATAATGTATTTTAAAAATGATCTATTTATGCTGTGTATCGATCAAAAAGTAAAGAACATCGCACTGAAAAAAATGTGTTAACTTGATTAAATCGTTCGACAAAATACTATTTTGTTAATTGAACATATAAAAATATTTAAATTAAATATAACACATTAAATCTAACAAAACTAAATACTAATATATGTATTACCAAAATAGTGACTTAGTTGAAAGGTTTAGTCGAGTTAAAAAATATGTTTTTTCCGTGCGCGGAAATAACAAACTATTGAAAAACCTGAAACTGATACAATCGCGAGCAAATAAAATTTTCATAACATCTGTTCGCCTCTTTTTCTTTTTTTACACAAAACAATATGCGATTCCAAGCTTCGAAACGGAAAACAAACAACGAGGATTGACGGAAAAGATTGATTCAAAAATACAGTAAAAAAATGATATAAATATCTAAAACAGTACCTAATTTTTCGACACAATTTTTTTTTTACATCCCCGGGTTGTTAAAAAGAAATTCGGAGCCCCGTAACGCGCCATGAAATAAAATCACCCCCTTGTTATTCCGTTCGGCGCTGCTCATAAATTTCGCCGTAGCGTAGTTTAAGCTATTTTCGTTACCATTAAATGTTGACTTCGCCGATGGGGGATCTCTCTCCAAACACGCGAAAGGGAAAATCAGGATGCTCCCCCGATTCGTCCAAGTTTCGCCGCCGATCCTGACGGATATATATATGTCTGTCCACCGTTCCCTGGGGAGACTCGGTCAAGTATCCATCCTTCGGATCGATTCCAGTGTAACGGATGAATTTGATTACCGAACATCATAGGGCATGTGCACGCGTTAATACAGTGACGTTATACCGGGCTCGAGGGAATCGTAACTTAATGCGCGTTTATCCGCGCAAATATCCTCGTTTTTCCAATTACATATCGCTTTGCGCCCAAATTATTATTTCGCGCACAACGCAAACCCCACCTGTATCTTTAGCGCGTCGAGTATTAATTGTATGGGGCAAACCATTAAAAGAAAAAAAAAAAAGGTCACGTGACGCAATTTTTCCGAAACAGCCGAACTTTCGAACGCGTATTCTGTTTCGTCTTTAGACTAGAGGAAAGTCACATACAGATCCGGAAATGTTCCCTTCCCGACTTATATAAACTCTTTCCGCGCGACACACGTTCGTAGTTCACACGACGGAGTATATTTTGAACGTTTTCTCCGAACTTGTAACCCTTTACGGCGCGTTTGTAAGTTATAACTGCAATTTGAGTAAACTCGCCTTCGAGCAAAAAGTAATTTAACGTTCGAATGTAAAGTTTAATACACACCGACAATCATGTCTATTCTAGACTCGCGCAATTTTTCTATTTTTATTCTAAAAAAAAAAAAAAAAAGAGCGTTTGCAATACACGTCGCGTTGAATAATATTTTAAAAAATTTTAAATGGAAGTAAAACGCTACTATCTCAATTTATAATTGAAATTTCAATCGAAAACGTACAGAGATATTTTTAAATAATAAATGTCTTGTTATAATATCTATCCGTCTCTATGTCGCGCACATTTGCTTGAATCAATACCGGCTAATGGATATTAATACTCGTTAAGTAAAGAAGTTTTACGCTTTCTTTATTATTTGTTCAATTCGCACGACTGGTAATTAAATTTAAATAATTCAAGATAATGGGGAACTCTCCTGGGGAAAGCTTCAGCGTGCAACTTAAGTGACAGAAATGTTGTCGGGATTGGAAAATAAAAAAAACTCGGAAAACGCTAACGTCTCGGATAACAAAACTATTTTCGGAATATCGATCGTACAGCCATGTTGCCATCCGGTACATAAACTGGCTGTTGCCCAGACAACGCGTCGAACTGATTAAATTCGATAAGAATTTATATTGAGAACGAGACGGTTCGTTATTATTAATGATCATACGTTTACCATAAAACGCTTGCAAATTATAATTTGTCAGTGGTTGCCACGTACTCTTTTTTATTATTTTGCTCAGTAATAAAAATGGATTTAGGATATCCGATAGAGCTATATAAGAACAAAGATCTGTTTTATAATTTTGCATGGAAAATAAACGTATGCTCATTTATTAACGAAAATTTCTATGTCAACAAATAAAAAGTATCGTTGACGATTGAAGATAGCGCATGAATATTCAAAGATCAAAGTCGTTGAGAAACACAGTATCAATTACAGTATATGGGATTTTTTGTAGAAAAAGCGATAAAAGAAAATGTAAAACATGTCTACGTTAATTACGTTACGCAATCGTTACGATATATACGTTGGTTAACGATATTAATGAATATGTGCTTTGTGTTTCAGGGCGACTTGTTCGGTGGCTTGAATAGCGGTTTGCAAGACGGCTTGCTCTCAAGAGCGGAGGCTCTGGCAGCAGATTTGGGGAAGCACAACGCCGGGACGCCGATGCCACTGAAGCATGATCCCGTGTCTGTGTATCATCACGGGGCACACATGCCCACCCCCCATCCAAATAACCGGCCACATCATCAGGTACAATCACACCTTCTTGTGAGTCCGCATTTTTTACATATCTATATTATTCTATCTAATATATAAAATATCTCAAATAATACAGTAGCTAAACAAAGGTATACGAAGCACATCATCGGATGCGGGATGACAAACTAAATCGAAAAGTCCTGAGCCATTTTTTAATCTGAGCTTTATTTTTGACGCTATACATTGTTATAAAATTGGCCAATTAGCGCGTGGAAAACAGCGCAGGCCCCGCCCACTAGGCGCTAATTGGCCAATTTTAACAATTTATAGCGTTAAAAATAAAGGTCAGATTAAAAAATGACTCAGGACTTTTCGATTTAGTTTGTCGTCTTGCATCCGATGACGTGCTTCGTATACTTTTATTTAGTTACACCCTGCATAAAAAATATATAAAAAATATATAAAAAAAAAATATATAAAATATATAAAATAAATTAGGGGTATCCTAATATATTCTTTTACACTTATTGGATGTCATAAATAATTGGCAATAATAAAAAAAGAAAAAAATAATTCATAGGGAACAATTATCGCAATAAAGGCCGGTCCTCGTCCCCGCGTTTCGCAAACCCTCCCTCGCACGCATCCATAAAATGCAACGAATCAAACGGTCAGAGTTAAAATCATTGGCAATAATTAATTACGAGCGGCAATTAATTTTGGATTCATATTTAATCGGTGGATTGAAAAATTTAATTTACGCAGTTTATTTGTTAATATCGCGAACAATGCAGACAACGATTTTAATTTCCCCGTTCTTTAATGGTTAATAAGCCGCATTATATTTATTACCGCGTATACATATATCGTTCTCGTGCGCAGTTTTAGCGGCGTGATTATCGCCTAGAGACGGGGGCGTCTCTCCTTCTCTCTCTCTCTCTCTATAATATTGTATATATTATACATACATGTGTATGCGATATCTCGCAACAAATTGTATTTCAATTTGTTGCCCCGCAGTGTACCTTATGCTAATCTGAGCAATCTGATGCCGTTGAATGAATACGCGAGGGCGAAGCCGAGCAACCAACGCGCACCGACCCGGAATGATCTTCTCAAATGTGAGGGGCGTGTTGCCGCTCTTGTGCAGTTGTATTATCTCTCTCCGTGTCGCGACCGTGTGCCTGTAATGTCCCCGCGATGAGTTCTAAGGGTACCCGGGTCTATGCGGTACAAGGAGGGTTCCAGACGGGTTTTGCTCAACTTTTCTAAGGCCACCCGCGGATCCGCGCACGTGATTTCAGCTGTCATAAATCGTTTCTACCGCTTTCCGACAATGAGGTACAGGTTGCTTAGAGATTTTAATTCATATACACGTGTCTTTTTGACTTTTTCCTCGCTTTGTTGCTTTTCCAAAATTAATTTTTCCATTTTCATACAAAAATTAAATTGGAACGTATTTCGCATTTTCATAAAATTCAGACATTAAACATTTTCGTCGACGCACGATTAGCTTTGCTAATATGCATATACATCTAATTCTGAATGGAATTAATTTTACGGTCGTTGAGTGTTGTACACGGAGAGAATTTTTTCTTGAAATCGTGGAAATTGTGAAACAATATGGTATTAAAAGAATTTTATAAGAGTTTCTCTAAAAATTAATCAATGATTATTATCGACCACGATGTACTATGTACGTATTAATATTTTTTATTATGATGATAAATATTTAATCAGATAAACTCTTATAAATTATATAAAACTCTTTCACAGCATATTGTCCCACGATTGCCATGATTTTCAGAGCACTGAAAAAAAAAAAATGTATCAACTTGATTAAACCTTTCTACTAAATATTATTTTGTAAATTAATCATATATAAAAATATTTAAGTTCAATATAATATATTAAATCCAACACACAAAACGTATATTTAATTAACAAAACAGTAATTTAGTTGAAAGCTTTAGTCAAGTTACCCAATTTTTCCAGTGTACTCTCAATCCAATTTCACGCGATACAATAATACCGTCAAATCATATTCAATGAAGAGAACTTGCAAGGGTATAAGATCCAAAAATATAAGAGAAACCGATAAAAGAGACAAAATAAGAGCGTTCAAAAAAAAAAATGGCATGATTCGAGTAGACATATATTATTAGAAAAGAAAGACGGGGGTAGAAAAACAGCGTCGAGCTGACGAAAAACCAGCGAGAAGAGATATCGGGTAGAAAAAGAAAGAGAAGGAGAGAACGGAAAGAAAAATTAGGGGCCGAGGTGGGCAATAGAGCAAGAAGAGAGAGAGCAAAACATAGAGGCTAACCCTACCATCGTGTCAGCGTAATGATGAAATATTGCGCGGGTCTCTTGGGCCCTACAACCCTCCAAACCCCTCCTACACCCTTTTCCACCCCTATACGTATTTCGCTGTACATTTGCCGGCGGCTCCCGACAGCCTCCACCTTCTGCCTTTTCCACGCTGGCCGTGCACCCCCTTGCATTTCTGATGTAACTGCGCTATCCTCGTAGCACAACAAACCGTGCCATCCAGTTAGCTCACTATACTGCCGTTCTCATGAGAATAGATGATGCGCGTGTTGTGTTGCGCCCTTACGCGTATATCTGTGTCCGTGTAAAGCCGACGCGCCTCGCGAGGTTTCCTATAAGCGCTCGCGCGCGTATATATATATATATACGTATAAATATAGTGTACGTGAGGTAATGGGCCGAGTTATGTGCGAACGACGCGGATATTTTTCGAGTAGTGCGATTTTTTATAGTGCATTTTTTCTTTTTTTTTTCGTTTTTTTTTTTTATCATCGCTATCGCGTATTACGAACTGTGTCCGAACGTGGTCGCAGTCCTATATTCAAAACTGAGAATAATTGATGTAACCGGATGTGCGGTGTAAACAAACGAGAGGGGATTAGATCGAGATTGAAAAGGATATGTGCATATATATATATATATATATATATGTATATACGATACTTGTTAAAAATGTTCCGGTATAAACGTACACGCGCGGAAATGCTAGCTGAAAAATTTATTTAGGGAAGGATTTTCGTGTATATTATTTTTGTATATATTGTTGTTGTTATCTCCTGCGAATATTTAGACGAGTTAACTTATTCGGTAGATAATTCCTTGTTGTATATATATATATATATATATATATGTAAAGTTTACTTAAATATACCAAGTATAAATTTTCTTTCCCTCTTTTCAATAATACGATATCATCATTTTATAATGAGAACTTTATGTAATCGCATCCGTTTTATCAATTGGCCTTTGTCATGTAAATTTTCGTTCCTACGTGTGTACAAGGAACATTTTATTTCTCAAACATATACGCGTCAACTAATTCTAATTACATGTCCTGTCCCCACGGTCGAAACCGTGGCGTCTAGTTAATTCAGTATATTCCCGCGAGACCAGATGATTTTATGTGTGCAAACAAGATCGTCTACATGTGTACGTGACACCTTACATACTTGAGTAGGCAAAAGTCACAACAAATAAATCATGCATCCAAGGAATTTAACAATTAAAATTTATTTAACGTAAATAAATGAGAACAAAAAATCGCGGCACATCATATTTTCAGAAAATTATAACAACGCGAGGAATTAACCCAATAAACAATTTTTTTTATATATAATTGTTTTTAAATAATTGTATAATTATACATATAATCGTAAAATTATATGTGAAATATGTCCATTTTTACACATAATTATTTTTATACACAATCATGTCAAATTATATTTATTATATATATTTATATAAAAAGCACTTTCATCTAATTATGTATGTACATATTTCATATATAATTTTGCGATTATAATTTTTATATATTTCTATATAATTTCATATTGTTATAAAAAATGTTTGACCGGGAAGAAGAAAAAGAAAATACTTTTTGCATATTTAATTTTTATTTAAATAAAAAAAAAAAAAAAACGATTTCTCTATAATTATCTGCAATATGTCTTTTCGCGTGACTCCAACTTCGCATCAGCAGATGCGACACCCGATATTAACCCCAAGGAAACGAGTTAACGGCACGCCGTTTACGTAATAGCACTTTAAGCGGAGAAAAATATGAAAGAAGTTCATAAATATATAATTTCTAAAGAGTTGTGCTCGCGAGGTGCATCCTGCATTCGTGACGACGGCCGCACGTGCTGCATAATTATGCGTGTTAGCTTGTACATATTTCCTGCTCTCTCCACCGCACTCGACCTAACTTTGCTTTTTATCCCCTTCATTCATGCCTTCCCTACACCACGATGGTGCTTCATCAAAATGCATTTCCGCAAACTCGGCAATACGATACGCATCCGGCCTTTCATCGTTTTCACGTTTCTATATTTTATCTTGCATAATCACGTGCAAAAAAAATAATCAACCAAATTTCTTATTAATAAATTGCCAATTAATTTTTTTTTCTAATTCATCTATTTCATTTTTAATATTAAATATTAATTAATTATATGTTAAATTAATATTCTTTAAGTGTGTAAAACTTGTGCGATATTTTAAGCTGCAAAATATCTTTTTGCTAGCTTACCAGTTTGATATTAATAATTTGATAATTAGAAAATATAATCATAAAAATGTGTATTAATAAAATGAAAAATATTTATATTTTACCATGTGCTTAATTTTTAGATATTATATTTCCAGATGTTTGACGAGTATTATATAAACCATTATATCGTTACTCATACACAGAGAGAATTTTCTCTTAAAATTTATTCTGAAAATCATGGTAATCGTGGGACAATATAATATTGGAAGAATTTTATAATATTGCCCCACCATGATATTTTCAGGTAAATTTTAAAAGATAACTCTCCGTGTAATATTAAAGATTTATATATGTTCAAGTGCCTATATAATAAATCGAGAATATTGATATTAAGAAGTCTTGAAATGTTTAATCATAAAAAATTTCATTATATTATAAAATATTCGAAGGACGAGAATATAAATATTCGATTAAATCTTAATATACATAGACTTTTATTTTCCTACGTAATCTTCTTATATTAGAATTCAAGTAATTATCAAGATGCCTAACATCGCCATCGATATATTCGACAGAAAAAACTTGCGTCAAAAACAACTTAAAAATATAAGTACGCGGAGAGAATTTTCTCTTAGAATTTACCCCGAAAATCATAGTAATCGAAAGATAATATAGTGTTGGAAGAATTTTATAAATTTCTCTAATTAATATTTACCACAATAAAAATATTAATACGTGTACATAATAAAATTAATCGAGTATATTTTATATCTTATTGTGGTAGATATCAATATTTCTATTGTGGTAAATATAAATCACAGAAAAACCCTTTGAAAACTTTTCCAATATCATATTGTCCCACAATGATTTTCAGGGTAAATCCTAAGAGAAAATGTTCCCGTGCATATATATACCATAAATTCCGAAAAAGACACCTATATAAGAAACCCAAAGCTACACAGCCCACTCAAATTCCGCATCCTTGAATTCGCGTGTTCCAGATGAGCCACCCGGGGATGGAGAGCCTGGACATGCTGGACCCGGCCAACTCGATGACGACCCTGACGCCGATGTCGGAGGGCACGGGCGGCGGACCCGGGCATCACGCGGGCATCCACGGGCCGTCCGTGTACGGTGGCATGAACGGCATGATGAGCCACCACCATCATCACGGCAACCTGGGCGGAGGTGGCGGCAGCGTGCCGCATCCGGCGCACCACCATCCGGCGATGGCGGCCGCGGCGGCTGCGGCGGCCGCGGCGGGTCTCCATCCGGACGCGGACACAGATCCGCGCGAGTTGGAGGCGTTCGCGGAACGTTTCAAGCAACGGCGCATCAAGCTCGGGGTGACGCAGGCCGACGTCGGGAAGGCGCTGGCGAATCTGAAGCTCCCGGGGGTAGGCGCCCTCTCGCAGTCCACCATCTGCCGCTTCGAGTCGCTCACCCTCTCGCACAACAACATGATCGCCCTGAAGCCGATCCTCCAGGCCTGGCTGGAAGAGGCGGAGGCGCAAGCGAAGAACAAACGCCGCGATCCCGACGCGCCGTCGGTGCTGCCCGCTGGCGAGAAGAAACGGAAACGCACCAGCATCGCCGCGCCGGAGAAGCGCTCCCTAGAGGCGTACTTCGCGGTGCAGCCTAGACCATCCGGCGAGAAGATCGCCGCGATCGCGGAGAAGCTCGATCTGAAGAAAAACGTCGTTCGCGTATGGTTCTGTAATCAGCGGCAGAAGCAAAAGCGCATGAAGTTCGCGGCTCAACATTGACCCGAGGGTGGCTTGTGACAGCAGAACTGACCGTACCAGCTGCCCGGTCTCGAGCCGAAACCCGAACCCCTGACCGAGTTTCAGGGATGGCCGTGATGAGAGAGACGGGGCTTTCGTCGGAGGCTTCCCTTATCTGGAAATATGGGGATTCCGAGTCGTATAGTCGTCGTCGTCGTCGTCGACGTCATCGGGGGATGTTTGAGATTAAATGCGGATGGCTCGAGAGACGCCATACGCGGGCAGAGAGATATATATATATATAGATATATATATCGGTACATCGTGCTGTCGCAGGCTGAGGATGTGAATCGCTTTGTTATCACTGCGCGTGTGTAATATGCATGTGTGACGCATATTTTGGAATCACCGGTTGCAGGGAGCTATTCTTGACCCGTCGGTTCGCGCGCTTCTCCTTTTTCTCTCCGAGGTCTCTCTTTCAACCTTCGACTGTACGATCGTATGGTCTCTAACCGCAGCCGCATACAACGTATATAATGCTGGTGACGTATTTTACGAACGTTTCGCGATAAACAATACTAAAGTCACTAAATAAACAAAGTACCGCAATCCGTGAGACTCAATGTTAACGATTTGGCGCCAAAATGATATCGAAAAGTGTACATAGTGCACAAACTTTTGTAATGCATAAGTCTGTTCGTTTTGGCTACACTGGCCACATTAGTTCAGAGGTTGTCTTTTTTGCTCGACATTGAAAGGAAAAAGATAACTTCCGAATTAATGTAGCCAGTGTAGCCAAAACGAACAGAACTTATGTACACATTACAGTTTTCAGGTTAGAAAGCACACATTAAGTGCAATTTTCTAACGTGAAAATTGCACTTTTTTTTTATTCTCAAAATACATTTATGCAAATATTGAACTTGAACGAGCCGCGTGTCTATTAATTGGATATTATTGGTTCTCCAACGAGGAAATTGTTTATTTTTATTACATCAGGTCATTAATTGATTAGAAATGGGCAAAAGTTGCGACAAATTTTTTTACTCGATTTTCTCTTAACAAATTTCATGCATTTTCATTATATATATTTCAAAACTCGTACGCGAATAAATCTCCAAGCCCGATATACATATATTTATTATTCCAAATGAAAATAAGCGAGATAAATTTTTGTTTGTATTAAAAAAAGGCGCGAATCATGCATCTGCGGATAATATTATACGGATAATACCGAGAACGAAACACCGGTCGCTGCAATAATGCATGATGCTTTCAACAGTATGATTTTTTGGAAACTGAGGATATGCGTGGGGAATATATCAGCGCTTTCTTCATATTTTCATTTGCATTAGCAGGAAGCGTTGTAAACGACGAATTCGCATTGCATATACGGTAACATATTATGGAATTACACAGATACCGTGCGTGATATTCGCGCGCATTTCATTCGGGATATAATATTTACTACCCCTTTTAAGATTACACACTGTAAAAAAAAGATATGTAAAGTTACATAAATAATAAGTGTAAAATTACAATATAAATAACAAAATCGTATACATTTTTATTATTTATTGTGTAACATCACATTTCTTATTTATGTAATTTTACATATTTTTATATGTAATGCATTACATACTTTTTACAGTGCAGCCGTAATACTTGCTTATAAAATTTTATTTGTTCCTTTTTTCTTCAAAAAGAAAAAAAAACGCGAGTGTTAAATTTCAGACAAATTAATAATCACATTTTCTGCAAGTTTCAATATTTTTATACAAGGCAATTAATCTCTTGCAAAAATCCTATAAACTCTCAAAAACAAATTTAATAAGATTTAAAAAAAAGAGTATAGATTCGAGATATTGTGTACGTTTTATTAGAGAATAATTAGGCAAAGGACTAATAAATAAAATGTGTGTAACACTAAATACGCTTTATTACAACAATACTCCGTCGCGATCCCCTGAAATAAAGCTTTCGAGCTTGCACACAGTCCGTAAAACTACGAGAAGCCACCAAACGATCGCGATAAAACAGTTTACGATGCCATTTGCCCTTCGACCCTTTCGCCGTATGACATCCGCGACCGAAATCGCCGTTTGGCGCCGATTTCACGATCATATTTTTCGTAGACGAATACGCGAAATCCCGTAATTCAACTGACTCAAAATAAATCCACAATAGAGAGCGAGATGGTATTTCGTTATATTCCTTTGTTATAAAATAATCAGAGTTTAATAAATTTCTACCAACTTTTGTCCGCCGCTTCAATTTGGGTATAAATATAAAATTTTGACATTTTATGTCAACGATACGAAATTATAAAGACATATACAAAAAATCTTTAACGCGTTATATTACATTGTACTCTTGCAATTATTTATCAATAAATAAATAATCGATCAAGTGCGAAGAACATTTGAATGTTAAAGGGAAAGCTTTGCGCATTTTCGTTAAATTTACTTAATTATTAAAAATTAATGAATGACTCTTTTCTTCAATATAGAGAACAATAATATTCAAATAGAGATTGAATGTATTGTCGCATTATCTATTAGTTCGAACGTTACGGTATCATTAACAAAATCACGATTTTTGTAAATTTTCCATCTCGGCGATGACAGCCGAGTATTGACGAGTCAATAACGCATTATCGGGAACGCTCGTAAATTACCAGTTCACCATCGCAATAATTTACTGAGCAATAATCATTGAAGGCACGATCGATCGCCGGAGAGACGAATCTCGACGGGGATGAAAATGCGGAAGAGAGAGAGAAATGAAATTTTCTCGTCGTTCATTCTTCGACGGACGATAGCTCGTGCATGAATGAACGGCGAGGAGCAAAAGACCGCCGACGCGTCTTGAAAAGTACAATTCGAAACATAAAATATAAAGTACGTATTGTTATAAAGACGACGCGCGGGTTTACGTCGCGCCGATGAAAAAAAAGTGATATTAATCCTAATGAAGAGACGCTCAGTTCGGTGTAAACAGTGAAGAGAACGAATAGCGTGCGTGTGTGCGAATACGAGTGAATGCGTGATGCATGCGAGGAAAGAAACCAGAAAGAATTAAGGGGATCCTAAGCTGACCCAAGTTTCTGTCCTGTTTTATCGACGAAATGTGAGATTAGATTCAGCTAGAAATCTATTTATTGGCTATACGGATTGTTTTTGCCCGAAATTAACATTCACATTAATATTAACAAATTAATAAAAGAGCGAAGCGTTCTAATTTTGGGTAAAAACAATCCGCGTAGCCAATAAATAGATTTATAGTTTACCTAACCTCACTTTTTGTCGATAAAACAGGACGGAAAGCACAGACTTCTCAAGGACGTTTAGGATCACCTTAAGATTTAGGGAAAAAAGAGAGAAAGAGAAATAAGAGATTAAAAAAAGAGCGAAAGAGAAAGAGAGAGAGAGAGAGAGAGGAACAAACTAACAGAGCTAAGAAAAATGTTTTACGTAGTGATATTGGACAATCAGTGAAAAGACTGTACCATATCATATTGAAGCAATACCGTAGCACGTAGTAAACGAATTAATTATACTCTGTTCGTATTTTTTAATGATCGTCCGCGCATCCGCCATGCGCCGACTATTTTCGTAAAATTCGAGGAAGGGAAAGAGAGGGCAACGAAGGGAGTCGCGGGAGAGGTGTTTCACTCTCTATATACCACAAACACATACACACACACACACACACACATATCCTGCTTTCGAAAGCCGACGATTAATATCTCCTTATCGATCCGATATCAGGGACGAAGCGAGGAACGTCGGAAAAGAGGAGTTCTTTCCGCTTCCGTTTTTCTCGATCGCGAACGAGATGCGAGATCGAGAGCTGCCTCTCCTTTTTGTTCGCCCTTTTTCACGAGGAAAAACAGAAAACAATCCGTCGTTATGTTGCGCCGTTTTTCCGCGTAACGACAACGAGAATTTCTGCGAAGAAATTTCTATGCGAGATCCTCGACGCATCCTCTTGACGGAAGGTAAGAAGCAGCAAAAAAGAGAGCACGTACTCGGTTATATATATATATATATATATATATATGACCGAAATAGCTCTGTCGCGAGTCGCGATTGTTGGGCTTAAAAAATGCGCGACTACCTTCTAAAGTTGGATACACGCGACAGCGACTCGTTTTCAAACCTGAACATTATTAATTGCTTTTTATCTCGGACGCTAGAAACGTTTGGAAAAAAATTTTTTACAAGACAAGTGTCAGACAAATTCGATCCAGCTCGAAATCATTTTAACCGATAGATTTTATAATTATAAAATGGATCAGAATTAATTCTCCCTTTTAATAAGTAAAGAGAAGATAATTTCGGGCAATTATATACTTCAAATATCAGAAATATATCATCATTATAAATTCAGTTATTTTTAAATGGAAAAATATGATTATTCGAAAATTTAAATCACAACTTTGTAAAGTAAAGACAATTTAATTGAGTTAGATTAGCATTAGAAATCCATTCTTTATATTGACAGATCGAGAAGGGTTGACATTAGAAAAACGTGTTTCTATCTTGACAGTTAAAAAAATCGAGCAAGTGTTCGATTCTTCGTTTAATTTTCATTTGATTCCTTTTCATTATTCAATTCTATAATATTAATTAGCTAAACATTTCACTTAGTTAGTCTAAAACTATGCGATTTGCATTTCAAGAAAGCACTTAAGATTATTTCGCCTGATTTTAATAACTTCTTTCTATTTTCCGCATTTTATTTCGACAAAAATTTAATTGGAGAAAAAATACTTCAAGTCTTGCAAGAAATCTGTATCCACATTGGAGAAGCATGTAATTCGAAAGTTGCAAGAAAGTTTGTTTGGATTGATCGGTCGCGATTGGTATCCAACGTTAGAGAACTATTCTGTGAGGAGGATGGCATACATCCAGGCAAATGAAAATGCTATTATATAGTAATAGTTAAAGGTAAAGTCGACGAAAAAAAAAACAGTAGTGGTTTTTAAATTGTACATATGTAAGAGGATAAGGATATTTTATAGGAGAGTAATAGCCGATTTGCCATTCTTTACTAGGTAGTGGGAAAGGAGTTCTAGTGCAATATAGAAGTCTATAGCAAGACGTTCATTATTCATTGTTTTCTCTCTTGTACAATGGCGCGTTTCACCCCAAGCGGGCCGATATATCAGCGCGTTTTATCAGCCTTCAACCGACGGTCATCGAAAATCGCATGCAGGCAGAGCCGCTCTGCATCGCGGCCGTTCTTCTCTCGTAGGAAAACAGAAATAGTTTAGTAAAATTAGACTTTGACTTTATAAAAATTACGATCAAACTGAATTTTTGTGGAGACCTTTATTTCGATGTTCCAATGAAATCCTGAAAAGTTCCCTTAATTTCATCCAGGGCCTTTCTTTATAGGGGATAAAAGGAGGTAAATTTTTGTCATTATCTCGAAAACTATCATTTTTTCGAGAAAAATAGTTATTATCAAAATGGTAGCTCATAAAATTCCCTACAAAAAAGATCTTTACACTTTTTTTTGTGGATTTAACCGTTTCGAAGATATAGAGCGAAAAAAACGCGCCCAGTACTCTATCCACGCGGTAGTGTGGAAAGGAGTATATATTTTTTACGAACCATAGACATTGCAACTCTGCCGTTTTACTCAGAAACGATTAGTTGTACGAAAAAAAACATAATGACCTTTTTGTAGAGAATTTTATGAGC